TGATTTGTGGTAAGTTAGAATAGGTAGGATAGACATCATATTAACAAAAAAAAGACCGTCGATACACCGATTAGGACGCTTTAATATGGTTTTTTCCTAAAACAATACCATAGGGAAGAAAGGAATAGCTTTAACAACAAAAAAATAGTACAATATGTTATGCACTGACGTGTTTTGCTTTGTCATCCACATTTTATGTTGCTTATTAATGTACTTTGTTATAAATATTATCTTAACATACGTAGGCTAGACTAAACAATCCCAAATATACAAGATGAAATTACATTAGTATATCTGTTTTTTTCCTTTAGTATTTATTTAGGGTTTAGTTATATGTAAAAAACGTAGTATGTGTCCATAAATGAAAAATCAGTGCGTTATTTACGTCGAGGAATCTTAAGTTCTTAATTCGACCATAAATTATTGGGATCCGATGTTTGTATGGTCAAAATATTCATCTTTTATCTGTTTAATCTCATGTTCAAACTTCAGCATATCTCCTTAAGTTTGGGCGATCGGGTACTATCACTAGCCCTCATAATTAGTGTTCTTCAAGAACAAGAATCTAAATTTGTTATTTGAATCTTTAATGTTTATACTAAAAATAAATTTATAAAAATGAGTTGTGATTTAGTAGTAACACATATGATGGACTTAGCGATGAATGTACCGTTCCCTGAAATATATTTATAGCAATTAATCCCTTTCATAAATTTCGATAGAACTCAATCTTCTCATTGTTCTATTGTAATATTTTTGTTGTAGTCTAGTAAAAGGAGATATGTCATAGTGAATAAAATTTGGAAAGGGTTACACAGCACGATTTTAACTTAATAGTCATATAGTAATACAATAAAATTTGTATCATAAACGATACAGAAATTCCTTTTTTTTTCCGTGTTATGCACTGGTCAGAGAGTTTACCAATCAAAAAATTTATAACACCGATTATGACAGTTTTCCCTGTAAAGAAAAATAATTATATTAGGGTATAAAAAGATCATTTTTTGTGTAGCTCACATTACTAAATCACTGAAATATAATCAGAGTTCACGTGAACAAAAATCTTGACACTTCTCAAGTAGTTACTTGCAGAATTTGCAATGCTCCATAAGTGTACAACGATAAGCGATTATGGTCATCCGTTTCGGTCATTAAGTGTTTGAGTACGGAATCATAATAAGTGTATTTTACCGACATGACAATGTGTATAATATCAAAAGCCATATTCAATCACATTTGTATCTTACACAATTTATTGATGAACCAGAATTCAGATATTTTCCTATTAACTGAATATAATCAGATTAGAGTTTTGTATCTGTCAATATGCACATGTACACTAGGTTACTAAAATACATTAAGATTTGTTTAAACTACTCGTTCAGTTATCTCAGACAAAGTAGCTTAAATATGCACCTTCGCTTATCAATACTTTACTTAGCTAACTGAATTCACTAGCTTATATTTAGTAAATGTTGGCTGAAAATCTATCATGTCCAACTTTGGGATTGATACCCACAATGTCAGTATTTGTTTATATCAATGTTCAATTATGAAACTACTACAAGTTAATTTTGCATATTGTGCGCTGTTTTTCAGCTGTATGCTACTAATTAATTCCATTTGTACTACATTCATTTGTGTGTGTCTGCGATTTGATCATATTTGTCAGATGGTTGTATTACTGATATCGTCCATAAAGTCAAATTATTAAACTCAGGTATCCCAACATATGTCTGAAAACGTGACCGTTGAAATTGTAGCGGTTGTCAGTTTTCTTCTTGTAATTTTTAAATGTGTTGTTATGTGAAGTAGATATCTGGATTTGGAAGGATCAAGAAATATTTCAAAATGTGTAGTAAACGCGGTACATGTATTAACTAGTTTTGTCATATTTTACCCTTTAAAAAACTTCAAACAGGAACGAACGCATACATATTTATACTGAATCATTCATCAATGCTTTGTGATTAATTAATTTTTAATGGTTTGAGAAATGAAACAAATTAAATTGTTTGATTTCATGTGGTATAAATCATAGACACACAAAAACACTGATCAGTTATAACTTGGTTTGAATCTAGTTAAATGTGTTAACAATATCAAAATCCAGGACACTGTTGACGTCTTTTGAACCAAATTGTATTCTCTATTCTTCTGTGCTTGTCATACACATGTGGACAAATGAGTAAAAGATGTGTACTTAAAAAAACACACACATAGATAACCTTTTCCCTTCCAATTTCTTCACAAAATCTAAACAAAAACTCAACGTTGTTAAAGAATCAATACAATAAAGAAATAATAATCAAAATAATAATAATAATAATAATAATAATAATAATAATGAAACAACATATTTATTGTTTCATTTCATTCATCATTATCTGCGTATGTAGTAAGTATACGACCGGATAAATGTAAACTAACCAAACAATGATTATTAACACTTTAATTATAACTAGTGAACAAAATAGAATCGCAAACAAGAGTGAACAGGATCGCGAAAAAATTGAACATTGAACTGTCCTGTAAAAACAAGATTTTTAACAACTTATTATGTCTATTATTATCAATATAAACTTCAGAACAATAAGCATATATATATATATATATATATATATATATATATATATATATATACTACAACTGATAGAAACAAATGTATATATACATATATCAATGGAGGGAGTTGTTTAAGATCAGTTGAGCACACAATGACATTCTTTTAAAATAAAAAAACATAACTTTAAACAGAACAAAATATGATACTCTATAATTAATTAATACAATGGTTTGAAATAAATACTTCATTGTTGAGTAAAGTACATTCCCATTCTAACAACCAATTGTTAAATAAATGATAAAAAACATTTAAATTCTATTAACAATGTATGAAAGCTAATTCTGGATTAAAATGCTAAAGCATTATTTTTAACACGAACATGAAGTATTCCCTATATACTGAATTAAGATAATTAGTGGTATGAAATGACTATATTGATTATTTTAGATGCTTATATAATCCTTTATATTTAGGTTAACTAATTTACTGATTAAATACATTGAAATATTATCTCTGTATCATACTGAATTAGATATTCATTATTATTAGTTCCATTTAATGCATTGTAAGATTATTACATCATTATCCTGAAATTAAATATCAGTATTTAGTGCCATATGTCAAATTTAGGAATGAGGAAAAACTTACTACTTATAAAATCAGTAAGAAGTATGCTTTTGTTTTTAAAAAAAAGATCAGAATATAAATTGAAATGCAACACTTATTACTGATGAATTTGAAAATTTGAAGTACAAAAATAAAATAAAATTTGCAATTAAAACGTTTGAAACTTATGAATGAATATTTTCAAGTCTTCAGTTTAGCAACTCAAAATTTAGATTTCAACTCATAAACACAAGATGACCGAGACAATATTCGATACATAACGATGAGTAACATTGATTATTGATTATGATGAAGTAATAATGAGAAACCATGGAAATTATGCATTCATTCCATAAATGAAATAGTAATTACAATGTTGATGATTGTGTTAGTAAATAATTTCACTAATTGATAAATTCATTATTTGAAGAATTGTGTTCTTTATTTTATATTGTGCAGTTTACAAAAAAGTTTGTTTATTTGTATTTTTTGAATTGAAAATTCATAAGATCGAACAGATGTATCAGAGAACTAAAGAGTGAAATTTTTATGTTTTCGATGGAGTTTTGTTCACTGAGTTGAATGGTTTAGTTGTGAAGCTCTCATCGTTCTTCTGAACGATATCATCAGCACAAAATTCAGGTAGAAGAAGCTCCACGATTAAACCATCCAGCTCAGAGAACAAAACTCCATCAAAAACACCCATCTGAGCTACAAATTTTCTCCACAATTTCGGAATTTTTATGTATTTGAAACTTTACTCTATGAATTATTAGTCTCGATTATTAGACTATTTCAGTATTTATTGTAATCAACTGGTTTAATTATTCACTATCAATGCATCTTATGTATTTACTGCTTCATTATTTTTTTTATTGCCTCAGTACAATCATCCTTTTAGAACATTGTAGAACTTTACACTAGACGTAGACTTCTGAAATGCTTAGCATAACTGGTTTGTAAGATTTTATTCAATGAGGTTGAAGGATATTTAGGTCCTAAGGTATAATTGACACCAAGTGACCTTACGAGACCAATTTACGTAGTACGAGTTACTTAAACTGTCAATAACTTTTACTACATATCCTATAGTGTTAAAATTTCGTCATAGCAAGATACTCTACTCTTGAAGACCGTTCTGTTTTTTTGTAAGCACGTTATTTTAGTGTCAGTGGGAAGAAAATGGAATGATTGCATAGAATTTTAGTCGGACTTCCCATTTATCAATTAAGTGGTGGATTTATTTTAAATTCATTAGGGGTAAACATACTATCTTGACTACATCGTAATTTATGAGACAAAGTTTTGGGTTCAATTCCTACTAAAAATTTTAACAAATGTAGGTGCTGGCATTTAGTGCGAAACAGTCAACTACTAGTCATCATTACGCAAATAAAATTAGAACAATCAAAGGTATCAAATTTTATATCTTATGCACTTTATTTGGTAGAACTTAAATTACCCTCTTAAATTTGGTAAGAAAATAGATTATATGGCGTCAGATCACAATTTAATGGTGTAAAACTGAGTCATTTTAAAAAGCCATCAACAAGCTGGTTTGTTGTCAAGGCATCAGATCCGATGAGAAACCAAACCGACCAATGAACTTGCAATCACAAATTAAAATTGTTCAGTATCAGGATTCAACCCTAATACTTAATCCTTATTGGCTAGATATTCCAAGATTAATTCTTGTTTTTAATTGGCTTAAATGTATGTTTTTTCCTTGGGAAATATCTCCGTTTTCCTGTACAGGTAGGAATTTAGCATGCTTCCATCTTATTGGTTAGTATAACCATATATTACGATATGCAGTTTAGGATATCTGTAGTGATGTTGGACTTCCGTAGGACGCCTTGCTATGATCTGTGGTCTACGCAGAAGTCTGAAGTCTTAGATGCAGATGTCGCGTATGTCGGTTGTGGTGAGTCTTGTCGCCGTGGTTTTTATTCATTCGTTGCTTCTGTGATTCGAAACCAATAACACTAATTTATTGTAGCCAGTTACATTCCATCCCTTTGTGACCCACTCTTGAATGCATTGAACAAACTATCAATAAGCCCGGATTCTCCCGATCGTCTTTCTGGCAGCGGATATCATACTGGAGGTAACATTACGGCTGTTGTTCGTAGTCCAGATTCTGATGCTGTGTACCCGAAGATGAGTAAATCAACACGTAAGTTTATAGCATCATGTACTATTTCCATTCGGATATGTTCGTTAAGTAGTCTTAGTACTAACCATCACATCTGTTTTCAGATCGCGATTTTGATGCTGCTAGATTAAATCCCTTTGGTGGTTCATCAAACTACATGGAGACTTTTGAGAACTTATATGAACGTGGACACAGTACTCAGCCTGAAATCCGGTTACCGAGATCAGATGGCATTTTCAATCGTAAGTATTTTACTTTAATACTGTATTCCTAGTTATTTGGAATTGTGACTATAGGATATTCTATTTTTGTAGATAGTCCTGTCGCCTATGGTGATGTAAACAAAACTCTATTCACTAACAAAACCAACCAGTTGGTTTCAGTCAGAAAAGTTGATTGCCCTCTTCCTTGTGAGAAGTACCCTGCAAATCCGGTTATTGATGGAGGTAAGTCGAATTTGAACGAGGCATCTTGCCTATAACCTTAAGACATACTTTATCGAACTGAAAGGAACCCTATTTACTTCACTTCCTAACTTAGGTGCCTGGAATGACTTCCCGCTGCGCGATGCAATTGGGGCAGCTCTTGTTATACTTACTAGTAAATCAAAAGCATCTGGATGTCGTCGAGTAATGTCCCGTTTTTCCCATAGAAATAAGAAGTGGGATCGTGAGACGTTAAGGCTTCACTCTTGGTAAGGATATGATTTACTAAAGCTTCATTGTCCGAAGGTTCAACTCTTTTTGCCTGTTAGAAATGCCTGCTTCTCTTAAACAAATATTCCTGTCAGTCCGCAGAAAGTTGGAGGAAGATTATGTTCTATGTGCATTTTGCCGGAACAATGGCGAATTACCCGAAATATACATAACTCATGAAGTAAGTGATGCTGTTTCCTACGTTTACTTGTTCATTAGGAATGTTTTTATTACTATTGTTTTGTTTATTATTTGTGGTCAATATTGCTTATTTCAGGTTAGAGATCAAGATGGTCGAGTGACGTGTCCGGTGCTACGTGTACTGTCATGTCCCAACTGCCATGCGACCGGTGATCATGCTCATACAATCAGATACTGCCCATACCCTAGGCAACTTTAGTTCTGTACTGACCTTTTTAAATATCCACTGTCTTATTATTGTTTACGTATGATTGTCATTATGTTACTTTATTACTTAGATTTTTGACTTTATTTTTATACATCTTAATATGGATTTATGCTTATTATGTCCTAATAAACTAAGTTATATCCACTCTTGTTCTCTTATCATTTGTTGTTGTGGGTGGTTTTGTGGTTTCCCCGTTGTTGATTGTTCACAAAATAGTTATCTTTGGAGATGTTACTGAACATAGCATATACGGACGGAACGGTGTTTCCTAACAGTATTGGGCTTGACTCGATACTTAAGAGTGACGTGTCATACATGATGCTTTAGGATGTTTGTACTGTCTCATTTTCTTTGTAATCTGCCCTAGTCCACGTAGTAATTAAAAACTGGAGATGTCACAGGTGTTCGGAGTTTGACAGCGCTTCAACCGGTAACCTAATATGGAGCGTACCCACCAAGTGAAATCAAAAGACGGAAGCGAGGAGGTTCGAAGATATATTTGATGGGCTATCAATATATTGAGGATCGTTTGATCTGACTAGCGGTTGCAGTAGATGCTGAGCTCGGCGTTCGCACACGTGATCTGGTACAGATGCATGGCCGAGCGCTTTCAGCTAGGTGAGTCCATTAAAGCTGATGTTGTCAGCTTTAATGGACTTTTTTGTTAAAGTACTAATTACGTGAGGAAATGTAAATGACAAACACATACTTAGCAACCAGTGTGTATGATTAGTGAAAATGAATGCGGGAGTGGACTTGTGACTCATCATCCCTAGTATTCATTGGCATGGGGAAAGCAGATTAGTTATTTGGTGAGCGTTGTGAGTGGTGTTCACTTGCTGGTCGTCTTATTGCATGGGTGGGCATAGTTACTGTGTACTTTTTCGTACGGTCAGTGATTGATGCTCACGTCAATGGTTGCTCAGTTTTTATTTTTGGGGCGCTTCGGGTTGTAGACTGTCGCCATGGCAACTGTGGTCTGTTTACTGACGTAATAATACCGTGTTATGTGAGATTCTAATCTGTTATGTCAAAACTAATATTTCCGACAATGTGAGTACGGCTCAAAATCTTGCTAGGGTTTCTTAAATTCTTGTGAGAGCTTCATCCTGTGTAGGGTAAAAATGACTAACTCATTGGTTCAGTGGACGGTTCTATTATAGATGTCTGCATTTGGACCTCGTATTTACCCATGGTTGTTTTGAGCTTGAAAAGGGTGCCAATTATGGGTATGGGGTAGGTTTATCGACACGGTACTTGAAAGAGACTAGCTATAATAACGCTCACAAATAGTTCGGATCCTAATTGCCCATTTGAGGCAGAGACTATTGCAATATCGCCGTATAGTGCAGCGGAGGAGGACGACAGTTGGCAGTATCCATGGAGAAAGGGAAGTGGTTTCGGGTCATCAAGTCCGGCGGCTGCGGTTTATACCTGACAGGCGACACTCAAACATCGTATGGTAAAGGACAATTCGCCATTAGTTGTCTCATCAACCGGTTAGCGTACCCTCCTATTCCCTGCATGGTGTAAAAACTTGCGAGGGATGGCAACTTGCCACGTATTGAGTTGACACCAACACTAACTGGGTTTATATGTATTTCCATTCAAGTGACCTCAGCTTGTTGTGTTGTTGGTGGTTTGCAGTCAGTCGACATCAAGAGTGGGCGCCCCTGATATCTCATTTACCCACTGGACCGGCTTCCAACGGAATGCGTGCATCCTATGCGATATCGGAGTTCCTGTGTTGGATTCCCGGGCGCAGGTTCGTGGGTGCGCACTGCTGAGGAGTCCCATAATAGGAAGAAAAGGCTCTTGTCCTTAGGTTCTCAATAGTAGTCTAATATTGACCGGTTCATTATTTCATTGAAGCTCAGTAATTTCTACAGCTCTATTCTGATAGTTTAATCACTTGATGACTGTTCAGAGTTCAACAAAATGTTTAAGATATACGATATGAAGCTACAACAGATTTTTGGTAGTGTGCACTATCGGTCCTTCACAGAAATCTACATGTTGTTTTTTATTTTTTTGAGGTATTTATTTTACTACAAAACTACTTAGTCGAACCTGTATAATTAATTTATTCCAGCTTTATTAACTACTCTAAAATTCAGCCTTTGATAGCTAGATTGTTTAGTGAGTAGCTACACTGTTTTGGGTAAGAATCTTGGACTTAAATTTCGTACAAGTTAGCAACCGTCACAAATTGGATGATCTATCTTCGGATTCATCAGAGCTAATTAGTTCCCTCAAGATTGCAGGTACCCATTGCCGACAAGTGTCAACTAGTGTGAGACCTAGATTCGGGCTCTTCTCCTAACTGCCTCCAACCAACTAGTATCGGAACCTAGTCTATACAGCATTAGGTCAATTAGGCAAGTGGCCAAAATTGCTACTTGATCAATAGAATTCGACAAACGCAAAGGACTAGATATATACTATATTCACCCCTAGTTCTTGATCAATCAATGTAAACATTTATGAGTTCTATATTTGATACCGTTAGTGCACATGAATAAATAATAATGTAGCAAATAATTAATTCAAGAAAAACTGTATAGTTTTGGAACAATTCGTTATTAAATGTTTCATAGCCAACACATAAACACGATGTACAGTTTTTTTAATTTCAGAATTCGAAGTTCGGCGAGATTATAAATGATAGGTGACGATTGAGCGATATGAAAGTGGACTTGGGAAACCTCAACCACTTTCTAGAGTCAAAGTAAGGTCATAAATTAGTGTGAGGAATTAGGACTGAGTTAGAATTATGGTTTTCATCATGAACGGACATCAACTATGTTGGCAAAATGATATTTAGAGTGAAAGTTAGAGCTAGAAACGAAATCTTCGATGAAAATGATGTTTTATTGGGTAGCACTCACGCATTAGACTAGCAGATAATTGCTTGAAAACACTTAATCTCTTATATATACTGAACATTGGGAAATGGATATGTAATAAGTTCACAAACACGTATCCTATCTCTTATTTAGCCATAGGGATGGATGAACTGCACATCAAAATACAAAACTCGCCACTTTAAGTTTGATTGGTCCTTTCATAAATTGTGGTCCTGTCTTAAGTTCTTTATTTCTATAGTGATTTTGTTTGATTTTAATTAAGTTTCATGATTATAATCCATTTACTGCCAAAGTGCATGATTTTTTAAATATGTTAAATAGCACACGTTTTCTCTTGGCAGCTTGTACAAGTACGCAACAGTGAATATCTAAACCCCAACATATTGATAGTAAAATGATGAGTGTATGAATTAGACTAAGGCCTATGACATCGGATCCAGTTGTCAACGCCTATAACGCACAAAGAACATTGTACTCGAGCTTTTATGTAAAACTATTAATATTCAATTGGGAGAATTTGCTCTAAAATATACATACATACTATATATTGATTAAAAGTGTTTGAGTTCCAGATAGAAATGAAGCTTTAAAATTACATGACAGTAAAATAAAATAGTTGAAGTGTACATAAATACTGCGGTCATTGTTAGAATATTTAAACATAATAATCAGGAAACTACTACACTTACAATGTGTTTAACCTATGTAGACTTATAACTCTGATCAGATTCACAATTGGTTATTTTCCCTGAAATCATGAGTCGTATCAGATACACACAAACTGTATAAAGTAATAAGTAAAAGCTAAAATTGTAGATGCTTGGTAAAGTGTTTGACTCACTCTACGAATATTAACTTACATAAAAATAAAAGTCTAGGCTCTTAACACCTAGATTACAATGACATGAGAGAAAGACAAACACATTGCTAAGTTAGTCATACACAAAGTGAAAATTTGTGGGAAAGGAAGTAATTTGTCACTAATCATGTGATAGTTATCAGAGTAGATATAACTCGGTTATATTTTAAGGTCATTTCATGTTTGTCAATCAAACATGTCATATTGATAAATCACATGATGAGCTCATAATCAGAAAAATAGTTCAATCTTATGTTTAAACTACTATTCAGGTTGTGAACACTGTGTAAATGTTTTTTTTTAATTGTGAGGTTGTTTTTAAAAAAATTAGTCATATCATAAACAATAGTAAAAGTCAAATGATTAAATTAAGAATAATTGATAAATGGCGAATATATGCTTAGATTAAATTTCGTGTATTTTAAACCCGTTGTCTGACTCCAGTAACTATCGCGGGATATTGATCTCAATGAAACACAGATCCCACTTGATTTCGTATAATTTCTGTCGAAAAATTCTGTCAATAATATCGTATACATAGAAAGTACTTGCGGAACATGTGTATTTGAAATTTGATAATATTGGCGAACGATAAGAGACGAAGGAAAATATTACATGAACTCGAATGACGAAATACTTATTCATTTTAGTTACGTAATTCAACATTTACGGAAATGAAAGATACAAGCATGAATATATATATATATATACAACTGATGCTCAACGTCAATTTCGTTGGTCGTTTTATTGTCTGTTTTTTTTGTTTCGTAGTATATTACTTACTGATTGTAAGTAGTTTGAGTTTAACCAATCATTTGTATGATTATTAAAACTTTCTGCAAAGAGTATTCGTTACAATATCAACAGTCTTAGATTTATTTCAGTTGTTTTATTTCGTCTGCTTACTTACAGTATTATTTATTTTTCAAATTGATTTTTTGGTATACACACTAAAATTCAGAGTCTTAATTCATTTATAAGTGTTATTTGAATCTTTCTAGTGTTAATATTAAGAGCTGTAATTAATCAGTCTCTTGTGGCATATGGAAATCCTGTCCAAAAGTCTTCGAAATAGGAAATATTATTTTCTTTCAGATATGTACTATTACTATGTAAGTGACATCATATTTGAAAAGGGAATACTTTTTGTCAAGTTATTTTACACACTACTGAATTGATTAGGCGTTGACGAAAGACATATGAGTATATCTAATCTCTAAGATAAGATTATGATCTTAATTCTTCTTATTCGATATTATCCTTTAATATTCAATGAAGCGTTATTATTACTTGTTTGCCTTAAAATCATTAGAAAGTCAGTTAGTCAGCTACAATGTAGGACCAGCACATATATGCATCGGTCCAAGTTGCCACAACTCATTAGCACAATAACAGTAGTCACTTCAATGGTATTAAT